TTTCTTGTAATTTGGATGCAAAGAGTTTATTTCAAGATGTAAATATAATAATTTCAGTACTGATTTTTGAACAATTCTCTTTCATCTTTTTTAGGTACTAGATATTTTTAAATGTAAGAAATACAGTGTTTTGCGATAGGTATTTAAAGAGATGCCTGTTTCTACCACAGTTAACCAAAATAAAATGAACAAATAAGCAAACAAAAATCTCTTCCACGTGATGTAAAAACAACCAGAGAAGACTGTTCCCTTGGGTTAAGATAATGCCATGTGAAGTGCTATGTAAATTTGTTGTAAGCATTATGACAGATGGGGAAGAACTCATTTAAATTTTCAAAAAGCTTTTGCTTTGCAAAGGAATTTTCTTAAGATAATTTGTATTCATATCTCAATAATGGAAGGCTCAAGATTAAGCATTGCAATTGTCATTCATATTACAAAGACAAATGCAATCTTGAGCAATTTATGCTTGTTTCATTTCCTCATTTTTCTAAATCATACTCTTCTTTGAATTATTATTCAGAGGATGACATTGCCTTTTGTCTTTGTGGGGTATCCTGAACTCTGGCTAATGATAAACAGTTGCCATTTTCTTTCATCCTCATTATCATAGGCATTGTTCTTCTTCATGGGGTGCTGTTTTCGATGACAGCCTTGTCCTGCAGAGAGCTACAGGATTCCACCAGATCTATTCAGGCACCTGAGCCTAATTAATGAAGTTTTCACTCTTTTTTTTTTTTTTTTTTTTTTTTTACCACAGATTTAGTAAAGAGAATAGCCACTTCTAAGTCTCTATGGGTTAAGTGACTACTTTAAAATTGGTCATTACTAAAGATCTCAAAGCATATCTCATACCTAAGATATATCTGATGAAGAGAAATAGAATATGACAAATTTTCACATTTATACTGTTTATTCATACTGCCCATGATTTGGCAGAGAGCTCGCCAATATAATTGGGAAAGTATAAGTCATTAAATTTTGAATTATAAAAACTGAATTTGAAAAGGAAGGAAGGAAAATGGGAAAGTAAGGGAAGGGGATGGAAGGGAGAAAAGGAGGAAGGAAGGAAGGGAGAAAGAGAAAGTTCTGGAAGGTGGTGTTTAACTAGGGAATAGTGATCAGTATTCATCAGACCATCTTGTTTCTCTGCATCTGCTTCTCTTTGTTTACCTCAAGAATCATCACTGTTGTAGTACTTTTTGTCAAGGGGTTGACATTCTTAGAAAAACCCGCATCTGAAGGAAAGTGGTTGGTCTGGTGACCAGCCCCTCACTAAACTTAACCAACCAGAGCTCACTTTTGAAGCCTTTAGACTTGAAATCATCTGTAAATTGTGTTCCTGGATCAGAAACAATGTTCTATAATATGTATCTTTGTTGAATAAGGGATTCAATGTAGAAGAAGCACTGCTAGAAAGAAAGGCAAGTTCACATCTTCAAGTCCTTTTTGTTTGATTTTGCTTTTCCCCAGTGAGTCTTAACCATGTCTCATTTCTCTCTGGAAGAAGCCAACTATGATCAAAGGCCGTATCAGGAGGTAGCAATGTTTGCCGTGGCTGTTAACATACAGCAGGGCGTATATTGGCCTTGTTGAAAAAAAGTCCTTGCTCAACCTATGTAGCACTTCCAGTCTCTGCGTCATGACTGTTTTGTATATGCTGTGACTGAGGAAAGATATTAACTAATTCACCAGATGGGCCATCTCGTCAGTCAGATTTTTGGTTAAGAGCCCCCTAGTGGGTATTTATATGGAAAATAAACATTTTCACATTCTGGTCCATTTTGAGAATTTCAAGCACAAATCATTCCCTTAGAGTCACAACCTTGCAACATGAATAGTTGATTGTGGCCCTGATCTCACCTGTCCTCCAAGAAGTGGGATATTGCTCATGGATTACCATCTTGGTGGAGAGGGAGAGTTCAGAGGCTTCCACAGTTCAAAAAATATCAATATGGATTCTTCCAATTATCAATTTTATATCCTCTTAGCACATATTTTGTGTCTTGGGAAATAAACACAGAATGGGTCTACAATTCCCATAAAAGTGGATTTGAGCCAAGAGAACACTCAAAATGGTAGGAATGCTGAGTCTCTATTAACAAGTTCTGGGTAGTCACTTTGTGATAATGGCTCAGAGATGTTATATTTCCCTCTAGAGATGGCTTCAAGGAAGATTTATAATACGTTTTTTTCTTATGGACTGAATTGTATCTCCCTCAAATTCATATGTTAAAGTCCTAATGCTCTTGGGTCAGGATGTGAGTATATTTGAAGAATTTTACAGAGATAATTTTACAGAGGTAATTAAGCCAAATTGAGGCCAATTGCATGGATCTTAATCAAATCTGAATAGTGTCTTTGTTAGAAGAGAAAATTCAGACACATTAAAAGCACCAAATATACACTTGGAGAAGTGACCATATGAAGAGACAGAAAGAAGGCAGCTATCTGCAAGTGAATGAGAGATTTGAGAGAAATCAAATCTGTGGACTCCTTCCTTGCTTTTGGACTCTGGCCTCCAGATATATGAAGCAGAGACTTGAGTTTATTAAACCACCCGGTGTGCAGTATTATGACACCCAAGCACACTCCTATAGTACTGTAATAATTTTCTTTTTCTACTATGATGTTAGCACAAACCTAGTAGTGTAAGAGAATACAAATTTATTATCTCATAGTCCTATAGGATAAATGTTGGAAATGGATCTTACTGAGCTAAAATCGAGTTGTCATTATGGCCACATTACTTTCTGGATGCTTTATGGAGAAAAATGACTTTCCTAGTTTCTACATAACAACCATATTTTTGGACAAGTGGCCTTCATTCTCCATCATCAAAGCCAACAATCTTTCATCTGTCCAGCTATTCTTCCCCCATCACATTCTTTTCTTGGACTCTCTTCCTCACCTCTCTTCAAATGTTAAAGATCAACTGATAACACTGGACTCACACAGATAATCCAGAATAATCTCCCTATTTAATGCCATTTGAGTGAGTCCAATGTAACTAAGATTCCACATGCAACCTTATTCCTCTTACCCTGTAATGTAACACTGTTTCAGAGAATTAGGATGTAGATGTCTTTGGGGGAAGAGCATTATTCTGCCTACCACAAGTCTTACTGCAAAGTTGTTGGAGAGTTCCTTAAAGAGCCCATATTCAGGAACTGGAACAATTGAGGAACTCTTGTGAATCCCCACAATAAGGACAGTCAGATTTCTTCTCACCAGACCCAGAAATTTTCTATTTATATAGATCAAGTAGTTCCTTAAGAGACCACCCCACATTCATTTACTTCATTTTTTGATAATTAATATGGAAGATTAACTCTCCTCCCTTCCACAAATGTCCTGCTCAGTTGTCTTTTTGCCAAACCCAATCAGTAGCTAGAGGTCTAGGGGGCCTCTTAGGGAAACTAGAGGGGTGAAGGAAGGAGGAGAGTGGGTCCTGCATAATAAGTGAGAAATTTCCATCTTTTGATGGAGACCAGGAGGCACAGGTCTATCCTTCCTGATGAATAGATTTCAAAGGAATAGCATTCAAGTCCTTGAGAAAGATTCTCCTGAGTTACAGGAGATGTGTATACAAAGGGTGAGAGAGAGGATTTGAAATTATATACCCTTTTTATCAAATGTTCTGAGAAAGAAAGGTCAGGTAGAATAAACAGTAAATTCTGTTGATAACTGAACTTTCCAAGACAAGAAATCAAAGGGGGACTGGCTTGCCCCATGGGTGTGCCTTGAAGCTGCTAGAAGCCATGTCAAAGTTTGGTGAAATCTCCAAGTTTCGAATAGAGTGTGCCTGGAAATTAAGTGTCATTACAGTCCATATTATCTTCCCCACATGGTTCTTGGTTAGAATTTGCCAGTGAGTGGTCCTCTCAAGAGATCTGGGCAACAAAAGACAAAGGGACTTTTCTTCTCTGGTTGTAAGCAGATGAAATAACAATGAAAGATTTGAGCTTTAGAGACACTCCTGAAAATTATCAATAGTAACTTCCAGAAATATAATGGAGGGAAATGGAGATGTATGGCATATGCGATTATGTGTGTTCAGGAAGGCTAAGTGACCCATGTGGCTTATTGGAAAAAACTTCATGGAACAAATATTCTAGTATGGTCTCTGTCACTGTCAGGTGACCCTAGATAATTTATTGAAGGGACTTTCTGTTCCCTCATTTCAAAATAAAGCGGTTTGGCCTTGAGAATAAAAGGATATGAAGCATGTGAAGTTTTTATAAAGCAAATGGTATCCACACTGCTTCAGTCCACTTGGCTATGGTTCAAGTCCCATTTTATTTTTGAGCCCCTAGGCAGACATCATATAACAATTTCAGAGACTTCTGGATAAGAATTTGCTTGATGCATTTTACTCAAATTTAAGTTAAAAGACACTTTTTGAACATTTAAACTTTTATCTTAATCGCCTGGGTCTTTCATCACAATTTTGAAGCCTCACTTCTCTAAACTTGATGCATGTGCATTCATGTTTTTAAAATAGCACAAGAAATAGGCTCACATTCACTTTTTTTCCTTATATTTTTGTCTTTTTAGTAAGACAGGATCACGAGGAAAGGGTGGTTGTGAACGTTGCTCCTGGTAGACAGCTGAGCTTGCAAGGAAATTAGTCACTAGCACTTTGCCTATATTTTACTTTTTCGACTTCCCTAATTGCCTAAGGAGTATGTGACTTTAGGGTGGGGTATACTTGCTTGACTTTCAGTCTGAGGTCTCATGTTCATCTGGCTAAGAGATGGGTTGTGTTTAATGGCTGCTGTAGGTACAGCTGTCAGGGGCTAAAATTTCCCCCACTGGCTTTGTTTTTGTGTCCTCTATTGTCTTTGAGTTTCCCTTCAGACTTCCCTTAAAAAGGACCCTGGAGGCTTTTTCAGTTGCTATCCCCTGGTGTAATACTGTAGCTGCTGAGGAAGTGGCAAAGTTTGGGGGAGGAGAAGCAATCTGTAATTTTAAGCATTAAATCCTAGTCTTGTAGTGAGTCCTTTTTCTTGGACTGTGACCTTCACAAGTGTTTCTTGGCTTTCTATGTTTTTAAAAATTTAGTATTATTATTTTTCTACTCCCCTATCCAGTTGGACTGACAGGCCATCAGGAACTAGAATTGAGTAATTGCCCTTCAGCTCTTCAGGTAAGGAGACTGGTAAAGTCTTTTCAATGGAGGCTAGTTATTTGCTATTGAAAACACTCAGGGTATATATTTAAATGATTGCATTTCCCCTACCTCTGCCAGAGACATTGAGTGACTTTTCTTAGCTCTACACTTTGAAAGCCTGATGGGATTCCTGGAGGTAAAGCTCATGAATGTTTGGGGGTGCCCTGAGACTGCAGCCCCTAGGAGACTTTTGTTCAAGTGCTGGTTCTACACTCAGCTTTCTGGAGTTTGCCAGAATTTCCTTTTAAGTTTTTCTACTAGATTTTAACTTCCAGTGGCTTTTTGCAACAGGAAACTGTTGTGATTCTCTGTATCTGCCCATCTCTCCCAATGTCAAGATGGTGATTTTCCCTGAACCTCAATTCTTTGATGGGTCCAAGAAAAGTCATTGATTTTCAGTTTGTTTTGCTCTTTTCTTGGTATGGCAATGTTAGTAGAAACTTGTGAGCTCTTTAGGAATCCAAGCTAGAACTCTATATCTTCTATACACTTTCTTTTAAATGATGACTATGTGATATAATCTAGTGTTTCTCAAAGAAAAGTAAATATGTTGGTCCCTCCACCCCAAAGAATGTTAATTATATTACATATTTACATATATAAACACAACTATAATTAAATGAATGCATATAGATAGTCCATGTTTATAAATGTAGAGACAGTGAGAGATTTTTGTACTGAACAATTAGTTTGGTGAAAGGGTGTGGAAGTAATCAAATAGAGAAGTGGTTAGCATTGTGGAAATACATCTTATTCGTAACCATAGTATAGAGGCATACTAGAAATAGAGCCCACTCTGACCTAAAAAAGTCCTCAGTACGAATTCTATGAATTTTGGAAAGTTTGTGTCTCAGCTTCTTTTTCCCAGAGTCTGATTTTTCTAATCCTATACTAGTGACAGGGTGTTCAAATTCAGCAATATAAAGAAGGAGTTCTTAAACTCCAGATTCTGAAGACCCCCCAAAGGATCATATTTTCCAAAGATATATATATATATATATAGATAGATAGATAGATAGATAGATAGATATATAGATAGATATATAGATAGATATATAGATATATAGATATAAATAGATAGATAGATATAGATATAGATATAAGTGTTTGCAAGGGAAACAGAGTAAATTTGATGTTAGTTCCTTATTATCTTCACCAGGAATTTCTTGATAAACCATTGTGACAAAGGAATAGACTGGCTCAACTTGTGATACCACTTTATGTGACTAAAAATCATGTGGCTTGTTGTAATGCTTCTCTTACTATTAACTTTTATTTATTAATTTATCTTTATTTTCTCTATGGAGCTGGGGATAGATCCCTGGGCTCCATACATGCTGGGTAAGAACTCTACCTGAACTGTATGTCTCCTGTTCCACTATTAGCCTTTTAGTGACTCAGCAATGCTGTTGGTTTGTGTCTCTCAAATGCTGTGCATCACTCTTGAATTCTTCCTAGCAGGCATACTGTCTTCTGAAAGATGGTGTTTATGGGCTTGACAGTTTGGGCTATCATTTATTAGGAACTATAACCCCCTCCTGTTTAGATACCAAAAAGGGCCTGTGGAATAAAAGTAAGCACATGCTCCCAGAACTATTATTTATAAAAGTTAGCTCATTAATGTCACATTGAATGCTTTCCATGTGTGTCTAATTTGAACTTGTTGAATGTTAATAATTAAACGAGGTAGAATGTATGCAACTCTGACAAGGCAGAAAATAAAGGGCTTTCCTCTCCTATGTCCCCATGCTTGACACCCTCCTGCTACTAGGACAATAACTTGTTAGGTGCTGAAAAGAGAGATGATGCTAAATTCAGTACGCAGAGAGTCAAAATGAGCATTATTTGATTATTATTTTTATTTACTAAGCCTCATATCCTTTCCTTTTGTGTTTTATGTTTTAGTGTAAGGATAAAAGGTACAGGAGAAAGATGAAACAAACATGGTCTTCTCTATATTATATATTATGAAAGAAGAGTTAGTGGGACTCATGAATGCTAATAGGGGGCATGAATAACTTAAAAGGGAAAATAACTTAAAAGGGAAAGGTCAATCTGTTATAAAGTATGCACCCCGTTCCAATACCCTTGTTGCTTTTCATTTTTTAGTTCTCTCCCTTTTTATTTTTTATCTTTATTTTTTTAATTCTTACATGGGGAGAAGGAATGAGTTATCTGACAAATTTAGATTTTGCAAACCAGTGCATTGATGAGAACACTACTGAAATACATTGCTAAGAAATTTTTCAACACACGAATGTGTCATTTCCTTTCTTCATAGACCAGATGCTGAAATACTATGAGATAAAGATTTTGGGTTTCAATTGTAAAGAGAGGGAAGTGGACAAATCAGAGCTGCCTTCTTTACAATCAAAGGTAAAAGATACTTATTTTTCCCCCCAAATTGCCTTTATTGATTGCATGAGTCTGGTGTGTGTGTGTGTGTGTGTGTGTGTGTATGAATGATAGAGAGTGAGAGAGATACCAGTGATACTACATATGATCAATAGTTCTAGTACAGTGTTTTATTCTATCACTAATAATTTGCTTTCATTGTTTTGAATGGTAAAATATATTTCTGTTCAGGTTTCCATGAGTGAAAAAAATGGATGTGTGTGTGCAAAAAATTGTGTAAAATACACTAAATACTTTGTAGTTTGAACTGGAAATTTTTTGTCATATGATTATTCATATTTTGTTAAAAATATCGGTTTGTTCTAAGTATGATTAATAAATTTTCATTCTTCTTCTTTCTTTCCTTTTCACCTGACACTTTTGGCTATAACTTTAAGGGGTTTATGATCCTTACTTGCTCATAGAGCAAATATTAGCTGATTACCTACTATATGCCATTGGTTGAACTAGATGTGAGGAAAGGTTACAAAAGATGAAATACATTTTTTTTTTTGTCTTCAGGAATTACATGATCTAGTGCATGTATCCAAACAGGTGTAATGCAGATTGAATACCCTAAGGAGCATAAAGGTGCTGTAGATAACTCCTGAGAGAATATAGGAGAAGCCAAATTATTTCACAGGAAGAAAGCACTATTAAAAAATCCTCATAGAGATGCTAGAATTTAGGTTCATCTTTAAGACTGGGCAAGATTTACACAGAATAGGATGGGGGTTGTTGTTGTCACGGCCATGGTAGAAAAGTCACAGGACTGAGATTCTAAATGTCTTGTACAGTGTTCAGGAGTTTTTGTTTGTAGTAGCTAAGGACTGATATGCTGCAAATATACTGCCTGTTTGCATTTAAATCTCCACACCCCACTTCAAGTTATATAATATCAAGGAGTTACATGAAGCTTCAGTAAGAATAAAATATTTTAAAAATGAATTTTAAAATAATGGTGATTTATTTGCTGATGCTTTTTGTGTACCAGGCAATTTATTTATTGATTGATTGATTGATTTGAGAAAAAGGAAAAGATTTATTGCTTTGCTAGCAAAGGAGAAACACCTGGAACTCCTGTCCCAGAGGCTGTGATTCTGCCAATCAGCAGGAACAGGTGGCTTTTAAAGAAGTAATTTAAAGGCTACATTTCATGTATTCTCTGTTGGAGTTGTAATTCAATTGATAATTTGGGAGATAGTCATTTCCGAGATCTGGTACCATCCCAAAACCCTGGATTACTTCTTTCCTATGGTGGGTATGTGGTCAAGGACAGATTAACTATGTCTAGAAAAGAGAAGAAAGGTAATCCTGTTTCCCCTGAGATTAGGGAGGGGGAGAAATTAGGGAGGCATAGGGAGAGAGGAAGAGAAAGAAACATGTCCGATTTAAAAATAAGTTTCAGTGGCAGAGCAGCAAGGGATATTTTCAAAGCATAAAGTGTACCACTGTTACAATTCCCCACTTTCAATTTCTACATTCCATTTCTATGGAAAAATGAGCATTGGTATCTCCAAGCTGCTTCCTGCTGAAAGAGGGCAAAGTTGAGGAAAGTAACCCAAAGTCCTTGTTCTCTATCAGGTGGAGCATGGACAGTTAAGGGTATTGAGCATCAGAGCAGCCCAGAGGTCCACAGTGGCAGATGCCAGGTAACAGGACAAGGAATATATAGGGCAGGGATCATGCTAAGAAAATAATAATCCTAGACAGCAAAGCATTACTTTTTTTATAAACACTTAGAACATAAGCAATTAGTACTTCAGCCAGTCTCTGCATACCATGAAGACAGTAACTCATAATCATATTTATGAAAAAGCGATCAAGTTTACCATTGTAGGAGGAGAGGAATATTTGTAGGTCTATAAAATCAGACTCAAATTAACTCAGGACAAACTTGAAACTCTAGAGTCTTTTGTGATCATCATTGTTAGGCACTCCCACACAAGTACTCTTTCTTTATAGCCTCCAGCTTTACTTACCTTTGTTGGGCTGACACAAGTGTATATCTTAAGCTACATTAAAAAAAAAAAAAAAAAAAAAAAAACTTGTTTTTCCTTTTCAATATCCATGTAGGACTGTGCTCAGGCTATACTCTCCTGCCAGGTGTTTAAGACCAAGTAGGTCAAAACTGACTTTGTTCCTATCTACTCTTAAGAGTCAGCTGAGATTCCTCAGAGATCATTCTTGGGGATGCATGTGAATCCTGTTGGCTTCTTTAGCTTTCCTCTACCAGTGGTGCCATGTGCCAGGACAGGCGAGGGTCCTGTTGATCATATATGGCTTCTCTTGGAAATATCAGGGATATTTCCATCTCCAATGACCTTCTTCTTTGCAGAATGTGCACTGTACCAGGCAATTTACCAAAAATATTTTTAGGCCTCATAATAATAATTTTAAACTTGATATTGTAATCATATATGAAGAAACTGTGATTCAAAATTTAAATATTTTCCTAAGATCACACAGCTAGATAATGTCATAGCCAATATTCAAGTCTAGATTCTGATTCCAAAATCAATGCTTTTTCTTCTTTACTCCCAAGGATGAATACCACTGCCATCAGGTACAATATAGATGCTTCTTATTAGAATCCTTCTAACAGACATATTCTTTAAGGGTAGAGCAGTTGGCTGTAAAGATATATTGATTAAAAAGTTTACCTATACTTTCAACTATTCTAACAAAACCGAGGCTTTTATTTTTAAATAATAAGGAAGCTTCCAAAATAACTCTCCTAACTTAATGTGGAATTGATCTTAAGAATGTGCTGACACATCTAAACAGGGTACAATGTTAGAAGAATATACACCAAATTTAAAAAGACATGTGATAACTATATGCTACAGATAGAAAAGTTATTACACACACACACACACACACATTAAAGCTGACCTGGAGATGTCCAGCAGTGGATATGAATTGACAAAAACCCAAGAACTAAGATAAATAATCAATACTTACATGGAATATCTCTTGGGTAGTAATAAGAAAAAATGAAAATAAAAGCCACCTTGAAGTATCATTTTAACTCTTCTTAAAATGTAAATAATTATTAATTATAAACATTGTTAATCAAGGGTGCTGAATTTTGTTCAAAACTTCCATGCTCAATATGACATAAATATAAATAAATTTTAAAATAACAGGCAGTAAATTCTGAGAAGTTCAAGATAGTTTTCCTTTTGCCTGGTAGTTCAACATATATATGGCAAAATATCCTAAAGTGTTTGAAAAGAATAAGGACAAATTATGAAAATATTTACATCATAATTGTATTAGCAAAAAGTAGCCCTTTGGATAAAAAGGGGAAAAATTAGAAAGAAAAAAATTCATTATAAGAAAGTGGCTATATAAATAAGATATGTACATATAATCAATGAATTATTAATAGCTCATTATTTTAAATATAAAAAAATCATTTGAAGGATAAAAATGCTGATATAATTTTAAGGGAAATGCCTAATACTAAATAATTTGAACTGTGACAGCAACAATATAACATGGATGTATATGTATAAAACTCAAGTTTCATAGGAAAAATGAAGGTATTCTTTTTCCAGTGCTATGATAATGGAGTGACAGAAATTTTGTTTTTACCTTTCCTTTAATATTGTTACAATATTTTCACAAACCATATCCAAGAAAAATAAAGGGTATGGTTTCCAAACACATTAACCTTGAAATGCTTTCATTATGGTTTTCCTGTTTTTGCCTCTGTAAACTTTTCACCCTCTCTATGAAAAGCTGATATTGCAGAGATGTGTTTCACTTCTCATGAGAACATGCTTTCAATAGTTTGTACAAACCCACAGGATTTCACAATCCTGTATAGGTGCATTGACATTTGGTTGGAAAAGTAACTTTGGTGTAGTTGCTTTTTCTTTTAACTTTGGAAATGATAGTAAAAGGCACACTGGAAAGGTGAGTGTTGTCTTCTGTCTGCTAACCAGGCCCTCCCTTGTGTATGTGTTTTAATGTTATTTTAAAAATTATAATAGAATAGAATTGAAAATATCTGGTAATTCTAATAATGAACACCTCTGAAGCAAAATGAGGTCATTGAGGGTGATTTTTTTTTATTTCAGTTTACAAATTACATGTAATTCAGAGAAAAAAAACTATCTTCCAATATGTAAGAGAATTTTAAAAATATTTTTGAATTAATGAAATGTGAAATTTTCTTCAGGCATACACCAAGATATGAAATTTGGTCATCTTGCAAAATACTTTTTTTCATCTGTGCAATTTTTTATATAATATGTATATAATGGATACTTCATAACTGTAAGAAACTCTCTGATTACTAACTAAAACATTGAAAACCCATATCATGCACCTAACTTGGGTGAGAGAAGACACACAACAAATAAGACAAATAAGGGAATTTTATTTGTGTTAGATGATGACACTTTTTGGAGGAGAAAAATCAAGACGGGAAGGGAAAAAAGAGGTAAGATAATATGATATTTATTTTCTGATTTTTCCATCATTGTTTCTGGTTCATACTTCCCTCCTGAATGCACACATAGGAACTCCACCCACCCTTAGTAGTGGGTCATAAGACCCTTATTATTACAGAGGGGTCCTTCCTACACTCTGGTTAGAGGATTGCTTCACTGAGAGGATTGCTTCACTGACAGGCCAAGAAGAATCTGAGTAGACAGGCCTTGCTGGGTTTCCTCACTCAGACTACCAGCCATCATGCCTTCATAGTGCAGTGAAGGACAGATTTTGAAGAGTTTCCAGATAGCTGAACATGTGCAGGTTCTTGGAGAGTGGAGCACCTGAAGAGAGCATGGAAGCTATGTGCCTCTTCTCCCATACCTCACCACATACATGTCTTCATCTGGCTGATTATTGGTATCCTTTTTACAATATCTTTTTCAATACACTGGTAAATGTGTTTCCCTAAGTTCTATGATCAGCTCTAGTACATTAGTCAAACCAGAGGAGGAGATTATGGAAACCCCGATTTTTAC